CTATGTAGCAAAGTTCCTTAACTCTTAAGAGTTCTTTACATGTTTACTATTAGTGTTGTGTGAATTTTACATTCAAAGTAAAGTTGACAAATACAGTTAAACAAGAAATCTCATATTTTTTTCAAATTACTTCCAACACAAACCTATGTTTTAAAGTATTATATACAACAGACGTGCAAAAGTGTACGTAGCAGAGTGGCGCAGCGGAAGCGTGCTGGGCCCATAACCCAGAGGTCAATGGATCGAAACCATATTCTGCTAAAGTGCTTTATGTCGAAAGACACATCACTTTAAGCTCATGCTAAAACTATCACAAAGTACTTCAATCGACACAAACCTACGTTTTAAAGTATTATATACAACAGATGTGCAAATGTCTATGTAGCAGAGTGGCGCAGCGGAAGCGTGCTGGGCCCATAACCCAGAGGTCGAAGGATTGAAACCATCCTCTGCTAAAGTGCTTTTTGTCGAAAGACACATCGCTTTAAGCTCATGCTAAAACTATCACAAAGTACTTCAATCGACACAAACCTACGTTTTAAAGTATTATATACAACAGACGTGCAAGAGTGTACGTAGCAGAGTGGCGCAGCGGAAGCATGCTGGGCCCATAACCCAGAGGTCGATGGATCGAAACCATCCTGTGCTAAAGTGCTTTATGTCGAAAGACACATCACTTTAAGCTCATACTAAAACTATCACAAAGTACTTCAATCGACACAAACCTACGTTACTTAACCTAGTACTTAACTCTATGTAGCAGAGTTTCTTAACTCTTAAGAGTTCTTTACATGTTTACTATTAGTGTTGTGTGAATTTTACATTCAAAGTAAAGTGGACAAATACAGTTAAACGAGAAATCTCATATTTTTTTTTAAATTACTTCCATCGACACAAACCTACTTTTTAAAGTATTATATACACCAGATGTGCAAATGTCTATGTAGCAGAGTGGCGCAGCAGAAGTGTGCTGGGCCCATAACCCAGAGGTTGATGGATCGAAACCATCCTCTGCTAAAGTGCTTTTTGTCGAAAGACACATCGCTTTAAGCTCATGCTAAAACTATCACAAAGTACTTCAATCGACACAAACCTACGTTTTAAAGTATTATATACACCAGATGTGCAAATGTCTATGTAGCAGAGTGGCGCAGCGGAAGCTTGCTGGGCCATAACCCAGAGGTCGATGGATCAAACCATCCTCTGCTAAAGTGCTTTTTGTCGAAAGACACATCGCTTTAAGCTCATGCTAAAGCATCACAAAGTACTTCATCGACACAAACCTATGTTACTTACCTAGTACTTAACTCCATGTAGCAAATTTTCTTAACTCTTAAGAGTTCTTTACATGTTTACTATTAGTGTTGTGTGAATTTTACATTCAAAGTAAAGTTGACAAATACAGTTAAACGAGAAATCTCATATTTTTTTTAAATTACTTCCAACACAAACCTACATTTTAAAGTATTATATACAACAGACGTGCAAAAGTGTACGTAGCAGAGTGGCGCAGCGGAAGCGTGCTGGGCCCATAACCCAGAGGTCGATGGATCGAAACCATCCTCTGCTAAAGTGCTTTTTGTCGAAAGACACATCGCTTTAAGCTCATGCTAAAGCTATCACAAAGTACTTCAATCGACACAAACCTATGTTACTTAACCTAGTACTTAACACTATGTAGCAAAGTTTCTTAACTCTTAAGAGTTCTTTACATGTTTACTATTAGTGTTGTGTGAATTTTACATTCAAAGTAAAGTGGACAAATACAGTTAAACGAGAAATCTCATATTTTTTTTTAATTACTTCCATCGACACAAACCTACGTTTTAAAGTGTTATATACACCAGATGTGCAAATGTCTATGTAGCAGAGTGGCGCAGCGGAAGCGTGCTGGGCCCATAACCCAGAGGTCGATGGATCGAAACCATCCTCTGCTAAAGTGCTTTTTGTCGAAAGACACATCGCTTTAAGCTCATGCTAAAACTATCACAAAGTACTTCAATCGACACAAACCTACGTTTTAAAGTAGTATATACAACAGACGTGCAAAAGTGTACACCAGATGAGCAAATGTCTATGTAGCAGAGTGGCGCAGCGGAAGCGTGCTGGGCCCATAACCCAGAGGTCGATGGGTCGAAACCATCCTCTGCTAAAGTGCTTTATGTCGAAAGACACATCACTTTAAGCTCATACTAAAACTATCACAAAGTACTTCAATCGACACAAACCTATGTTACTGAACCTAGTACTTAACACTATGTAGCAAAGTTTCTTAACTCTTAAGAGTTCTTTACATGTTTACTATTAGTGTTGTGTGAATTTTACATTCAAAGTAAAGTGGACAAATACAGTTAAACGAGAAATCTCATATTTTTTTTTAAATTACTTCCATCGACACAAACCTACGTTTTAAAGTATTATATACACCAGATGTGCAAATGTCTATGTAGCAGAGTGGCGCAGCGGAAGCATGCTGGGCCCATAACCCAGAGGTCGATGGATCGAAACCATCCTCTGCTAAAGTGCTTTTTGTCGAAAGACACATCGCTTTAAGCTCATGCTAAAACTATCACAAAGTACTTCAATCGACACAAACCTATGTTACTTACTATGTGAATTTTACATTCAAAGTAAAGTGGACAAATACAGTTAAATGAGAAATCTCATATTTTTTTTTTATTACTTCCATCGACACAAACCTACGTTTTAAAGTATTATATACAACAGACGTGCAAAAGTATACGTAGCAGAGTGGCGCAGCAGAAGCGTGCTGGGCCCATAACCCAGAGGTCGAAACCATTCTCTGCTAAAGTGCTTTTTGTCGAAAGACACATCGCTTTAAGCTCATGCTAAAACTATCACAAAGTACTTCAATCACCCAAACCTACGTTTTAACGTATTATATACACCAGATGTGCAAATGTCTATGTAGCAGAGTGGCGCAGCGGAAGCGTGCTGGGCCCATAACCCAGAGGTCGAAACCATTCTCTGCTAAAGTGCTTTTTGTCGAAAGACACATCGCTTTAAGCTCATGCTAAAACTATCACAAAGTACTTTAATCGACACAAACCTACGTTTTAAAGTATTATATACACCAGATGTGCAAATGTCTATGTAGCAGAGTGGCGCAGCGGAAGCGTGCTGGGCCCATAACCCAGAGGTCGATGGATCGAAACCATCCTCTGCTAAAGTGCTTTTTGTCGAAAGACAAATCGCTTTAAGCTCATGCTAAAGCTATCACAAAGTACTTCAATCGACACAAACCTATGTTACTTAACCTAGTACTTAACACTATGTAGCAAAGTTTCTTTACTCTTAAGAGTTCTTTACATGTTTACTATTAGTGTTGTGTGAATTTTACATTCAAAGTAAAGTGGACAAATTCAGTTAAACGAGAAATCTCTTTTTTTTTTAATTACTTCCAACACAAACCTATGTTTTAAAGTATTATATACAACAGACGTGCAAAAGTGTACGTAGCAGAGTGGCGCAGCGGAAGCGTGCTGGGCCCATAACCCAGATGTCGATGGATCGAAACCATCCTCTGCTAAAGTGCTTTTTGTCGAAAGACACATCACTTTAAGCTCATACTAAAACCATCACAAAGTACTTCATTCGACACAAACCTACGTTACTTATCCTAGTACTTAACACTATGTAGCAAAGTTTCTTAACTCTTAAGAGTTCTTTACATGTTTACTATTAGTGTTGTGTGAATTTTACATTTAAAGTAAAGTTGAGAAATACAGTTAAACGAGAAATGTCATATTTTTTTTTAATTACTTCCAACACAAACCTACGTTTTAAAGTATTATATACAACAGACGTGCAAAAGTGTACGTAGCAGAGTGGCGCAGCGGAAGCGTGCTGGGCCCATAACCCAGAGGTCGATGGATCGAAACCATCCTCTGCTAAAGTGCTTTATGTCGAAAGACACATCACTTTAAGCTCATGCTAAAGCTATCACAAAATACTTCAATCGACGCAAACCTATGTTACTTAATCTAGTACTTAACACTATGTAGCAAAGTTTCTTAACTCTTAAGAGTTTTTTACATGTTTACTATTAGTGTTGTGTGAATTTTACATTCAAAGTAAAGTGGACAAATACAGTTAAACGAGAAATCTCATTTTTTTTTAAATTACTTCCATCGACACAAACCTACGTTTTAAAGTATTATATACACCAGATGTGCAAATGTCTATGTAGCAGAGTGGCGCAGCGGAAGCGTGCTGGGCCCATAACCCAGAGGTCGATGGATCGAAACCATCCTCTGCTAAAGTGCTTTTTGTCGAAAGACACATCGCTTTAAGCTCATGCTAAAGCTATCACAAAGTACTTCAATCGACACAAACCTATGTTACTTAACCTAGTACTTAACTCTATGTAGCAAAGTTTCTTAACTCTTAAGAGTTCTTTACATGTTTACTATTAGTGTTGTGTGAATTTTACATTCAAAGTAAAGTGGACAAATACAGTTAAACGAGAAATCTCATATTTTTTTTTTTTATTACTTCCATCGACACAAACCTACGTTTTAAAGTATTATATACACCAGATGTGCAAATGTCTATGTAGCAGAGTGGCGCAGCGGAAGCGTGCTGGCCCCCTAACCCAGAGGTCAATGGATCGAAACCATCCTCTGCTAAAGTGCTTTTTGTCGAAAGACACATCGCTTTAAGCTCATGCTAAAACTATCACAAAGTACTTCAATCGACACAAACCTACGTTTTAAAGTATTATATACAACAGACGTGCAAAAGTGTACGTAGCACGCACACAAACCTATGTTTTAAAGTATTATATACAACAGACGTGCAAACGTGTACGAGCAGAGTGGCGCAGCGGAAGCGTGCTGGGCCCATAACCCAGAGGTCGATGGATCGAAACCATCCTCTGCTAAAGTGCTTCATGTCGAAAGACACATCACTTTAAGCTCATACTAAAACTATCACAAAGTACTTCAATCGACACAAACCTATGTTACTTAACCTAGTACTTAACACTATGTAGCAAAGTTTCTTAACTCTTAAGAGTTCTTTACATGTTTACTATTAGTGTTGTGTGAATTTTACATTCAAAGTAAAGTGGACAAATACAGTTAAACGAGAAATCTCATATTTTTTTTTAAATTACTTCCATCGACACAAACCTACGTTTTAAAGTATTATATACACCAGATGTGCAAATGTCTATGTAGCAGAGTGGCGCAGCGGAAGCGTGCTGGCCCCCTAACCCAGAGGTCGATGGATCGAAACCATCCTCTGCTAAAGTGCTTTTTGTCGAAAGACACATCGCTTTAAGCTCATGCTAAAACTATCACAAAGTACTTCAATCGACACAAACCTACGTTTTAAAGTATTATATACAACAGACGTGCAAAAGTGTACGTAGCAGAGTGGCGCAGCGGAAGCGTGCTGGGCCCATAACCCAGAGGTCGATGGATCGAAACCATCCTCTGCTAAAGTGCTTTTTGTCGAAAGACACATTGCTTTAAGCTCATACAAAAAATATAACAAAGTACTTCAATCGACACAAAACTACGTTACTTAACCTACTACTTAACTCTCTGTAGCGGAGTTTCTTAACTCTTAAGAGTTCTTTACATGTTTACCATTAGTGTTGTGTGAATTTTACATTCAAAGTAAAGTGGACAAATTCAGTTAAACGAGAAATCTCATTTTTTTTTTAATTACTTCCAACACAAACCTATGTTTTAAAGTATTATATACAACAGACGTGCAAAAGTGTATGTAGCAGAGTGGCGCAGCGGAAGCGTGCTGGGCCCATAACCCAGAGGTCGATGGATCGAAACCATCCTCTGCTAAAGTGCTTTTTGTCGAAAGACACATCGCTTTAAGCTCATGCTAAAACTATCACAAAGTACTTCAATCGACACAAACCTACGTTTTTAAGTATTATATACAACAGACGTGCAAAAGTGTACGTAGCAGAGTGGCACAGCGTAAGCGTGCTGGGACCATAACCCAGAAGTCGATGGATCGAAACCATCCTCTGCTAAAGTGCTTTATGTCGAAAGACACATCGCTTTAAGCTCATACTAAAACTATCACAAAGTACTTCAATCGACACAAACCTATGTTACTTAACCTAGTACTTAACACTATGTAGCAAAGTTTCTTAACTCTTAAGAGTTCTTTACATGTTTACTATTTGTGTTGTGTGAATTTTAAATATAAAGTAAAGTGGACAAATACAGTTAAACGAGAAATCTCATATTTTTTTAATTACTTCCATCGACACAAACCTATGTTTTAAAGTATTATATACAACAGACGTGCAAATGTGTACGTAGCAGAGTGGCGCAGCGGAAGTGTGTTGGGCCCATAACCCAGAGGTCGATGGATCGAAACCATCCTGTGCTAAAGTGCTTTATGTCAAAAGACACATCGCTTTAAGCTCATATTAAAACTATCACAAAGTACTTCAATCGACACAAACCTATGTTACTTAACCTAGTACTTAACACTATGTAGCAAAGTTTCTTAACTCTTAAGAGTTCTTTACATGTTTACTATTAGTGTTGTGTGAATTTTACATTTAAAGTAATGTGGACAAATACAGTTAAACGAGAAATCTCATATTTTTTTAATTACTTCCATCGACACAAACCTATGTTTTAAAGTATTATATACAACAGACGTGCAAAAGTGTACGTAGCAGAGTGGCGCAGCGGAAGCGTTCTGGGCCCATAACCCAGAGGTCGATGGATCGAAACCATCCTCTGCTAAAGTGCTTTATGTCGAAAGACACATCACTTTAAGCTCATACTTAAACTATCACAAAGTACTTCAATCGACACAAACCTACGTTTTAAAGTATTATATACACCAGATGTGCAAAAGTGTACGTAGCAGAGTGGCGCAGCGGAAGCGTGCTGGGCCCATAACCCAGAGGTCGATGGATCGAAACCATCCTCTGCTAAAGTGCTTTTTGTCGAAAGACAAATCGCTTTAAGCTCATGCTAAAGCTATCACAAAGTACTTCAATCAACACAAACCTATGTTACTTAACCTAGTACTTAACACTATGTAGCAGAGTTTCTTAACTCTTAAGAGTTCTTTACATGTTTACTATTAGTGTTGTGTAAATTTTACATTTAAAGTAAAGTGGACAAACACAGTTAAACGAGAAATCTCATATATCGACACAAACCTACGTTTTAAAGTATTATATACACCAGATGTGCAAATGTCTTTGTAGCAGAGTGGCGCAGCGGAAGCGTGCTGGGCCCATAACCCAGAGGTCGATGGATCGAAACCATCCTCTGCTAAAGTGCTTTTTGTCGAAAGACACATCGCTTTAAGCTCATGCTAAAACTATCACAAAGTACTTCAATCGACACAAACCTACATTTTAAAGTATTATATACAACAGACGTGCAAAAGTGTACGTAGCAGAGTGGCGCAGCGGAAGCGTGCTGGGCCCATAACCCAGAGGTCGATGGATCGAAACCATCCTCTGCTAAAGTGCTTTATGTCGAAAGACACATCACTTTAAGCTTATATTAAAACTATCACAAAGTACTTCAATCGACACAAACCTACGTTACTTAACCTAGTACTTAACTCTATGTAGCAGAGTTTCTTAACTCTTAAGAGTTCTTTACATGTTTACTATTAGTGTTGTGTGAATTTTACATTCAAAGTAAAGTGGACAAATACAGTTAAACGAGAAATCTCATATTTTTTTTAAATTACTTCCATCGACACAAACCTACGTTTTAAAGTATTATATACAACAGACGTGCAAAAGTGTACGTAGCAGAGTGGCACAGCGTAAGCGTG